ATGCGTTGGTGTGAAGAAAAAGAAGAAGGTGAAATTGTTGTTGGTGGGAATGGTAAAGGAAATCAATCAAATCAATTGAATTATCCCCGTGGTTTATATTTTAATGACGAAGGAAATCTTTATGTTGTTGACTGTGACAATTATCAAATAAAAAAATTTGAAATAGTTTTATGAAAGAAATTTGTTTTTTTGAATAAAAATCGTCAAATAAAAGAAAAAGTCAAGTCTTGCTGATGAAATTCAATAAAAATATCGATAAAATCTTGACGTGAAAGAAATTTTTGGTAATGAAAGAAAGAAGAAAAAAGTTTTGGGTTTTTTTCATGAAAATTGAATTTAGCTTAATAATTATGATTTTATAATGAAATTAATTCTAAAATCTAGTTTTTTCAATATTTTCAGCTGAATTTGTCAAGAACGCATTGAAATATGGGAAAATGAATTTTGTTTGAAAGTATAAAAATATATTTTTCCGATAAATATTTTATGTGAATCTATTTAATTATTGTTAAATAGAAATAAAATTATTCTCAATGATTACTTATTAATATAAAATTATTACGAAAATAATTTATTTTTTATTTTGATTAGAAATTATATATTCCTATATAAATTTAACAATAATAATAGTTGATGAATAGATCAATCTTATTTATTATTTTGTGGAGTTGTAAAGATTAATAATAATTTCAATGAAAATATCTAAAAGATGAATTTGCAGCAATGATGATGATCTAATAATATTGTTTAAAATATAAGATAATTATATAGAATTTAGTTTTTTTTGGTATATCTGAATTATTTTTTCCTTTATTTTATATTATTTCATTGATTAAGTTACTTTTTGTCACGTCTTGAGATTCAATAAAATATGATGTTCGGAAAAGGTATCTTTATTGAAGAAGAGAAGAGAAACAACAAGTAGAGGAAAAGAAAGATGAATATATATGTATAACACATACATATAACGACAGCTATATATATGTGTATGTGTTGGATAAAACCATAGCAGAAAAGGAAAAACACCATGACACACTATTAGAAAATATGGATAATCCATTTATCATACTCTGTTAGAAGATATAAACTATTCCACTATCTCACACAATTAATGTAAAATTATATTAAAGAATTAATCTCTCTATCATATTTATAATCGTACAATATCTTATACATAACTTGTTAGAACAAATATTAATAAAATAGAATTAAGTTTTTTTTTTATTTATATTATTTTATTGATTAAGTTAAATTCAACAGAGTCTATTTTTACTTTCTTTTTTATATGTATATAAAAGAAGAAAGACATTGTTGCACATTATCAGATGATTCGAATTTTCCAATGCAAATTTTTTAATCATTCTTTGTTTTTTCATTTGAACGCATAACAATAGAAAAAATTGACTATTCCCATACAATGAAAATATCCTCTCATGACATTATTAAATACCGATATCATGTCTGTTTTATTACTGAGAAATATATAAAGCAAAGACTTGTTTTCATTTCTATCATTATTTTTTCTCTTTAATGAATTATTTATTTTTTTGATTGTAGATATACAATCCTTGAAGGGTACTATCTTAAAAAAGGTATGAAACGCGTGAGAAGAGCAGATTGTATTTGTCTTTCTTTAAGATAGATTAGTCAGTCTGCTTTTTTATCAAATTCTAAATAAAATATTTCTGAAAGAGATTTAATTTTCTTCATTATTTTATTCTAGAAAAGATTAACAAATTCAATGGTTAGTTACGAAAACAATCAGCACTTAAAGAATTCTAAATGAGCAATTTTTTTTTTAATATTTAGTCTGACACGGAGAATGAAAACAATATTAGACAAACTATTCGTCGACAAACAGCATCGTAAGTATTTGATTTATTTATTCGAAATTTATCTATGATTTTAGATGTTTATCTCATTGGAAAGCAATATTGCTTTTAATTATCATTGTCATTCTTAGCCTAATAACTATCATTAGTATTACAACAATTTTTATTTTCATTAAAAAGGCCGAAAAAACAATTAATACAACTACAATTGATGTATTGACAACAGAAACAACAATGAATGGTAGAGTTTTTTTTATAAAAGAAAAAATAGGAATTGACACATCTGTTGAGTCCAAAAAAAAGCTCCACACTTAAATTCCAGATTTGTAGCTCACTTACGCATCCATGTTTTACTTAATAATATTTAAAATTATATAGTTACCCAAAAAAAAAACTAATAATTATATACAGAAGAAATCTGAGGTGTGGGAACATTAGAAGAATCATCCATACTCACACCCTAGTTTTTATCTTTCCTCGTTTTCTTTTCAAATTAGATATTTTTCAATTGGTTTCAAAAATAAATTATCCTTCACGAAAAATGCATTTTCTTTCAGATTTTTATTCTAAAAAATACAACTTTCAAATACTTTTTCATTAAACATGTTTATAAACATTTCATTCAAAATTAATCTTTTCTTCTTCTTTTCAGCAAATTTTTTTTTGTCATCATTTTCTAGAATCAAAATTTAACAAATGGAAACAAAATGCCATCACTGTGGCTGGTGGAAATGAAAAAGGACAAAACCTAAATCAACTCGATCACCCTTCTCGAATCTTTATCGATAAAAAGAAAAATATTTTCATTGCTGATAGCTGGAATGCTCGCATTGTTGAATGGAAACATAATGCAAAAGAAGGACAAATCATTGCAGGTGGAAATGGACAAGGAAATCGAATGGATCAATTGAATGATCCAAAAGATGTGGTTGTTGATCAACAAAACAATTCGATCATCATTGCTGATTATGCGAACAGACGAGTGATTCAATGGATGAATCAAAAACAACAAATTCTCATTAAGAATATCTTTTGTTATGGTTTGGCAATGGACAGGTATGGATTTCTTTATGTTTCTGATCTTTTGAAGAATGAAGTGAGACGATGGAAAATGGGAGAATACAACAATGAAGGAAAGATAGTGGCAGGTGGAAATGGAAAAGGTGATCAACTTAATCAACTCAACCATCCTACTTTTATTTTTGTTGATGAAGAGCAATCTGTTTATGTATCAGATAGACATAATAATCG